TATAAAGGCTTAGCTTTATGTCCATACACTTTCCAAAACCTAAAACATGAAAATATTCATGATTGGTAAGATTTTGTAATCATACTTTTAAGTGTAGCAATATGTTGATTTCAAGGTATATGATCCAAACATATAGAACCATTTTCCCAAGACCCCATTTTCTCAACTCAAACACATATCACCACGGTTATGTAACTACAAAGAGTGGACAGGTGGCCGCCCCTTAAGTTTTGCTGTTTGAGTCTTGCATTTGTGTCCAAGTCTCGCTGTGCTAAGTCTCCCTTAAGGCACCATAGCATACAGAAGAGAACCCTAAAATTATGTCAGACAGAAGCACATATTTATACACATCAGAAAAAAAAACAAAGCAGCCACTACAACTCTATTATGAAGTGTTATACAAATACTGAAGAGATGATGTGAGCAGAATCCTGACAGACCCACATTCTCAGATACTAGTACTAGTGATTTATTGTGTTCAGAGGCAGGAGACTAGGAGACTAGGGAGGTGCGGGTCCATAGCTTTGCTCAGAGGGAAGTTCACTGTGAATCTCAGAAGAACCCTCTCCATCTCCATCATCCATGAGATAGCTGGACTGTGTGGCCAGGGGAGGCTGGATTACTGCATTATATAGAATGTCCTTTATATTCAGGATATGATATTTTGCACATGTGTCATTAGAAAATATGCTCTGTAGTCTATGCATGCCTTTTCATTTCCCTTTTCAGTGTTGTGGTGGGACAAAGATTTTAATTTTAGCTAAGTTTAATTCATCAATCTTTTATCTCAATACTTCAACTCACAATTTACCAGACAGCTCACACTTACAGAGAGACGACATCTTGTATTTTCCCGACATTCTGATGAGGAACTCTGTGGTCCTGTCATTGCAGAGAGGAGCAGCAATGCTGGTTCCCACATGGTGAGAGTCACGTGCAGAGAAGAAGCTCCCTGTCTGACAGGTTCCCCTGCAGACATCTGGCAGGTTTTCCCCAAGAGTGAGGCCCCATGGGGTGCCCATGTCTGTGATCATAACAATGAATGTCAGAGGGGATGGGCCAGTCACCATATTCCAATTTCATGCATCTTTCAGGTGCCATTCAAAAAGATGGGCATTTTGGGAAGAAATGCTTTTACATCTGAAGCATCACATTAAACATGTCAGCTCTTGCCAAATTCTATGACCCCAATTCCCTGTTCAGTCACGTGCACGTGCACATAGGGTTCTGCATGAACACCAGACCAGATATGTGACAATGCTTCCATACAGTCCTAATGGGGCTGGAATATCCCTATCATTTTGGGGCATAATTGGTGCTGTGATGTTAGTGCCTCACATGGCTCACAGGTTCTTTGTGTTGACTGTCCTGCCAACAAAACTACTGCACTGCCAGTCCTGTAAAAGCATAGCCCCTGGGTTCATAGTGGTGGCTGAACTATCCAGGTATGTGCAATTACACTGTGACATTAACAAGAGACAAGCAGACACAGTGACTCATTTATTAGGCCCTATGTCTCCCTTACCTGCACAGAACTGTAAAACAGTTTGTGACATCAGCGTTGCCTTAAATATAACCTTATCTAAAGACAGACACTCACGAACCCACATTCTTTAGCTTTAAGTAATAGTGATGTTTCTTTTATTTGAGCTCCTGCCTCTAAATTATAGGGTCACTTAGAGACCCTGATTCTTGATCTCAAAAGTCTTATAATTCAGGCACACTTATTGCTATTGTGCAGTAAACATTTGTTATATCTCTTGTTTCAACTACTTTGTAAATGCACATCTTAATTGTATTCTTGCATTTTGTACTTTTCTGTGAATTTTCATAAATGAATATTTCAACTCTGAAGATAATTAAAATTTAGATGGGAAGCATTGTGTTGACTTCCTCAGTCTCTGTTTTCTCCGTGAGTTCCAGTACAACCAGGTTTCCTCTGAGGTGATGTGCACCCTGTCCCATTGACCTGTGTCCATCCTTCTAACAATGCCACTCAGTCTTGTTCATAATGGGTATTGACAGGTCTCCATAAAATTGTAAAGAGTGATCAATTATATATGAAAATGATAACATGTGTGAGAAGATGGATTTCTGGGGGTCTTGAAAAGGGCTTCAGCCAGAATCTGCCTCATTCTTGGGTCATCACTGGAAGTCCCAGGCACACACACCCTGGTCAAAGGTGATAACCCTCTGGCTTCACTTACCCATGGAAACCCAAGCCAGGTCACAGAACCTTGGGGGTTAGAGACACTGTGGACCTGGGTGTGAGGTCAAGCACATTTCATGTGTCGGTGTTTCACATTCCGCCTTCACCATCCCCTTATCTGTAGAGACCCACAGTGCCAGGCTGAAATGGCCACAGGATGAGGATCCATGGACTGGAGAGAAGCACAGTCCACCCCAAGACATGTTCTCTCAGGGGGACCCCAGTGTCAATGTCACACCCCTGACTGAGGGCTGCACCCACTCTGCTCTGGTGTATCAAGGCCCCCGTGGAGACGAGAGCCAATGAAATGTGACTTTTCACATTTCAGAAAAGGGCAGAACTCATCTTCACTGTGTAACATCTGGGCAACTCTGGAACTTGAGGATGAAGAGCAAATATTTCAGTTCCACAAGAAGGATTTCCACCCACTTCTATTTTTCTAACCTGTAAATAGCAGTGTCCCATTTTACACTTATTCCCAAACTAAAATATTGTTAGGTAATGTTGCTCTGCACTTTTCTGTGCCCCTTTGACTGGATGAGGTGGGGTAAATGCACAGTCCACCCTTTCAATCCAGCATGAACTCTGACGTAGAAATGAACTATGTAGTTCACTGGCCTTGCCTGCTAAGAAAAACATGCTTTCACCTTTGCAGGACGAGACACACTGCACCCTGTAGGAAAAAAGGTTAGATGATGTGGAGAGACTTGTATTATCTGGCCTGCATCTTCCCACACTCCTCCATTCCCAACCCCCAGGACAGTGGTAGAGTCTGTGCAGGGATAATAGCCTCCTGTTGAGTGTGAGCACACACTCATGATTCCTGTAAAGCAGCCCTTGCCCATTTTTCTCTTCGTGTGCACACAGTACATGTTTCAACAGATCATTTCAGTTCCCATCAAAAGAGAACTATGAAGATGGTATGGAGCACAGGAAGTCCACCTGGTGTGATGCCTTTTTATTCATTGTCAGGTGTTGTGGGAAGAACAGTGTGTCCCTCAATGTGAGATAATGCAGGTCAGCTGTCCATGTGATGCAATGTCTGCATTGAATTCCTTCCATAGCTCTCCAGCTGTGGCACCTGCCACAGGGTCTGTGAAGCTCAGAGCAGAGCAAACACCTGTTTCTTGTGGGACACATTCACATCCTCCTTGGGCCATGAGATGTGGCTTCATGTGCCAACAGTGAACTGTGGTGGCCATTCCCCCAGGACATAAGTCCCATGACCAGCTGCCATCTGAGACTAGCAACAGTACAGTGGTTGCTGGCTCTTGGCTACTCTATGGGCATAGGAGAAATAAATGCATTAGAGCACATCATGGCCTTGCACAAGCTCCTCATGTCCATTCAGCACAGGTTCCCAGGTGGCCACTTCAATAGGGCCACTGGTAAGTACACTTTCTTGCTCCTATGTCCTGGGAATTTCTTCTAACAGGATGTGGCAGGCTTTACTTCATGTGCCCCTTATGCCTTAGGGTATTCTGTAGGCTCAGGCTCCATACAGTCATCTTTATAGTAACCAGATTTCGAATTCCATCTTTCTGCCCTACGGACACTGCACTGTAAAGTGCCCATGTGTCACTCACACCTAAGCACTGTGACTGTTCAGGTCAATCAGAGAAATAAACCTGTGATTCAGTTGACTAACCTGATTAGTCCTTACTGTTTACCTCAGTATTTTCAACATTCACAGTGTGTACGTCTTTCACACAAGAGCCTGTCCATCTAGCTAAAAATTCTGCCTGTTACCCAAGAAGCATTGTAGTGATAATTTGAGAGAAGTTCAAGGACAAGTAGTCATGTGGCAACAGGAACCAACACAACCCCACGTTCTCCAGGGTCAGCCATGGGAAAAGACTGGCTCTCTGACCAAGAACATGAAGAGCAGCATCTAGCATTCATCTGCTGTCACAGAGCAGCATAATCATTCCCATTTTAATACAGAATCATCTGGGCAGTTGTCCTTAGGGAATGGCTTATCTCTGAGGCCCATGGCTTTATGGATATTTTAGACTCAAAATTACTGCATGTTCTACAGTATTAGGGGATTTTGCATCCTAAATAGTCAGCATACAATTGTCTGCAGGTCATTTCTGCACTTGTGTATTAGGAAATTTCTGTGTTAAAATCCAAGTGCTTTACACAGGTGAACTCCAGCGTTTCATCACTTGGTCCATTCTGTGTCAGTGCAAGTTGCATATACATCCTCAGTGGTGCCCAGGTGTGAATATTGGTAGCCAAACACACGGATGAAGGCATCAAAGATGAGAATTCAGACACCACTGGTTGTTACTCAGGCTCCCTTTCAAAGGGGTCTTCTCAGGGGTCGGTAATGAAGAAGCTGTGTGATGTTCCACATGTGGGCTCTGCATCCTCCACATCCAGCAGCTGGGCAGGCACTAAGTTCTCCTTAGTTTCAGGGGTAGACAAGAGCATCTGTTCAGTTTTCAGTGTCCCGGGAGTGTCACAGGTTCCTCTTACCAAAGATTATTGAGAAAGTCCTCATTTCTGCAGGAGCCTGGACCTGTGATGGATTTGTCAGGCATGTGTCACTTCTGTGTGCCACCACTTCATTAAAGTAAGTGCATGTTTATCTTCTATGTGTCATTATAATGTATCATCACACTTAGGACCCACATCAAGCAAACACACTTCTACCATTCACAGGAATCTAATGAATCATATAAATATCTATCATTTCATTAAATGGGTGTTACAAAACCTCCCCCATGAAAGCAAATTAACATTGTTTATTTTCCAAGATCAGATAAAGAAAAACCCTTTGCCAAGTTCAATCACTGTGGGTCCTGAGTGCCCCCTGGTGTCCTGAGTGTTTTGTGAAGCCTAAGCCTTCTGTCTCCAGCAGGGAGGTTTTTTGTCCAGGCTCACACTGACTTCCTCTCACTGTGTCTGCAGCGCAGTAATACAGGGCTGTGTCCTCGGGTTTTAGGCTGTTCATTTGCAGGTACAGCGTGTTCTTCGCATTGTCTCTGGAGATGGTGAATCGGCCTTTCACAGAGTCTGCATAGTATTTCTGACTTCCATCATTCCATATAACTGCCACCCACTCCAGCCCCTTCCCAGGTGCCTGGCGGACCCAGTCCATTCCATAGCTACTGAAGGTGAATCCAGAGGCTACACAGGAGAGTCTCAGAGACCCCCCAGGCTGAACCAAGCCTCCCCCAGACTCCACCAACTGCACTTCAGACTGGACACCTGAGAAAACAAAGACATCAGTTCAGGAACTATCACATGTCCACTGTTCCTTTCACATCCACTCACATACGCAGTATCTCTCATCCTCCACAAATTACCTCTTAAAATAGCAACAAGTAAAATCCAGCTGATTCCAAACTGCATGGTGAGAGGTCTGTGTTTTGTCCTGAGCAGGGACTGGGGACTCCTGGGAATCCTGGATTAGGCTCCTGTCCCAGAGCTGCAGGGTCAGGGCTGGGCTGCTTTTCATGAGAAGAGGGGCCCTATTTGCATGTTCTCCTCCTATATACTGAGTTCTGGGTTTGGATGGTGACATTAAGGACAGAGTGAGAACTGTCCAAGGAAATATGTCCTTACGAATTTCTCTTTATGTCTTGCCAGTTTGGCTCAGTTTTTTCATAGTTTCCTCCTGTAACTGAAAAGTCACAGGTACAATCACATCTCCTTGTGTGTAGGGGAAGCAACACAGGATACCTCTCACTCTCTATACCTGATATCTATCTATCTGTCTTTATCTATAACTCTTTCTCACTCAGAACAATGAAAAATATCATCCTGTGAAGATAATAGAATAATAATATGAAAAATGAAAGAACTCCCTTCATTTGGCTCTGTGGCCTCCCTGGAGACCCCACAAGACCTAGGACAGTGAATTAGAGGAACTTGTTATAAAAAGGGAAGGATTTACAATGACCGATCCCTTTGAAATATCTAGCAATGAACAAACCAGTTAAAGTCAACCCTCACAATCAGAGGGGCAATTTAAAATATAGGTTTGTATTCAGGAGCCAGGCAGTACCATCGGACACCACTTTCTATACAAAGTGATCAGAAAATAAACTCAGAACAGAGTGTGACCCTAGAGCACATAGATCCACTGTTGGTGGAGGTGAATCATCTGTTTGAATCAATGGGAGACAGATGAATAAACTATACAGAGAAGCAGACAGTTCTCCTGAGTCATGTTCCTTTAGTGGAGTTTGGTGTTGAATGTGTAGCAATCTCAGTCTCATTTTTTTAGTCTGTAGAACCTGTGGGTCAAATATTGGGGACACAGAAGACTAGATCTGCTTAGATGAAGATGAATCTATAGATTTTAAAGTAACTGTGTATAAATTATACTAATTCCATTATGGAAAATCTTGATCCAATCCATAATAGGCTATAAAATAAAATAAATGAAATAATAATTGGTATGAACACTATCACATTTCTTTATCCATTGATTAAAGAATAAATAAATCCTTTAAATAGCATCCCCTTCTTGGGCTGTTGGGTCTAATTTAATGTAAAATGGTGAACCTTTGTTGTTCAGTCTCATTTTCACCATCAGCAATTGTGTTTCTGTGGATTTGTGATGTAATTCTAATAAAAAAAGCAAGAAACGTGGTCACCTCTGATTCATTTGAAGTAAATTTCAGAAATCTCACCCCCAATATCTTGCATCTGTTTTCATGTCTGCAGTTGACAGTTGCGCATAGTGTCACTTCATCCAAACAAAAAGGGTGTCACCTGGGCATGAGGTCCCATGCAGTGTGGATCAGTGTGCAGAACTGGGAAAAGATCCTCCTAGGTGCATGGGTGGTGGGATTAAGCAAGCCTGGCACCAACACTTTCAGTGTTTTTGTTCTTTATGTGGTCATTTTTGTCCTCATGTAGCAAGTTCTATTTGTCTTATGTTACTTTCCTTAGAAATTGTCTCATGCTGTCATTCAGATATTAATATATTGGGTTTGACAAAATGATCATTTCATTTTCCAGAAACATGGCTCTAGTGGCTATCAGTTGACTTTAACTTCATTTGAAATAATATAGTTAGAATGTATGGTGGCAGATCTTATATCATAGTGCATTTAAAAATTCATCAAAATTGGTGAATTTTCTGTAGCCATATTTATGTTGATATCAGACTAAAGTACACATTTTCAGCATATTACAGTTTATTATTTCAAGTAAGATAAAAATGCACCAAGGATGAGGGAAAAATGGTTTATGCATTGCACGGAGAAGGTGCTGTGACTGATAAAATATCTCAAAAGTCATTTGAGAAATTGTGTGGTGTAGATTCCCCACTGCAAATAGCTCCACGGTTAGGTAGACCAGTTCAAGATGACAAATCAAGACATTGATTGAGAATAATAAATGTTATACCACAGAGGAGGTAGCCAAAATACTAAAAATACACAAATCAACACAGTTACGGATGTGTCTTTTATTTTACAGAAAATATGTCTTATCTTTTTAGAAAAAAATAACAGAGATTTTGCTGAAAGCACTGATTTGGAAATTAACCCATTCTCTTTACTCAGCTTTTGTAAATAAGAAAGAAAGAAACCTTACCATTTGCGATAAAATGGAATGGCCTGGGGGGGGTTGCTGATTGGAATAAGGTAGATAGAGAAACACAAATACCATATGATCTTAATTATATGCGGAACCTAAAGAACAACATAAAGAAACAAGGAGAACTACAAACAGACCCATAGAACAAAGAACAGACTGGTTGTCTCCAGGTGGGTGGAGTTAGGGAGCCTGGATGAAAAAGGTGAAGGCATCAAGAAATACAGGCAATTAGAGGTTAAATACTGGAATGTAAAGTATACACAATCAATGAAGTTAAAATATCTTAACAAATATATGTGATAACAGGTGGGTACTGGATATATTGGGCTATCGGATCACAGATTGTGCAAATGACTGATGACTCTGCTGTAGGCAAGAAGCTCAATTAAATTAATATATAGAACCCTGGCTGGTGTGGCTCAGTGGATTGAGTGCCAGCCTGCAAACCAAAGGGTCGCTGGCACATTTCCCAGTCAGGGCACATGTCTGGGTTGCAGGCCAGATCTCCAGTAGGAGGTGTGTGAGAGGCCACTGGTCACTGATGTTTCTCTCCCTCTCCTTCCTTCTTCCTTCACCCTCTCTAAAAATAAATTAAAATAAAATAATAAAATAATGTAACATATAGAATGTCAGCTGTAATTTAAATAGAAAAAGGAAATTTCCCCAAATCCCATGGAGGCAAAAGTAAGGGTGAAGGGCAGAATATAACAGGCAGGAGACATGGCTAAATTCCATCATGTTCTCACATATTTCATCTTAAGTAAAAATTTCTGAACATCCTGTAGTTTTATTAGAGACTCCCATTGAGAAAATTGGCCTAGTATTATTCCCTGGTGGTTCCTACCTCAGTAACACACTGGGAGCTGATAACCAGAACTTATTACAATAATCTCATTTGCTGAAAGGCCTTTCCTTTTATTTTTTGCATTAATTTCAACTCTTTGCTAGACACATGTTCCATGCTTCTTTGGGGAGTGTGTCTCTCATCAGCCTGGGCATCCACACCTGGCTTTGTGGGTCTGCCTTTGTGTGGTGGCACCTACACTTGGTGCTGTGAGCATGGTGCCAAGTCAATGACCATCATCACTGAGGCCTATGACCTCATGATTTGGTTTCATACACCTCTGGTGCCCATTGTCCAGCAAGCACTTTTCCTGCTGCTGGTCAGCTTGGAAGGTAAGGTGTTGGGGCCAGACTGACTGCGGATCCACCAAACACTCTGGTTAAATTCAATCAACGTGGGTCAGAGGTTTGATGATTCACTGAAATTGGGAATAAGAGTGTCTGAAAGAGACTCTGCCTTTTGTCCAAGGGAGAAAAATTTCCTTCACAACATACTTGTCTAACTCAGAGACTTCAGGGTGTGCAGAATCAGGAATCCAGAGAGGTTCCCTGAGGAAAACTGTTACCAGAAGACAAAACCAGAAAAGAGACCTCCCAAACAACTGACTGCACCTGCTCCTTTGATGGCCCTTGTGTTAGGGAAACTGCGCCCCCCCCCAGTGGTCACAGCCTGGGTTGTGCCCAAAGGCCACATCTAGTAACAGGAGCATCTGGGCCTATGCCCTCTTCATGGTGCCCCACTGCTTCCCTGATCCTAATCCAGGGCAGACTGGGGCATACTCTGAGGTTGTCAGACCTCTTTTCTTTAAGAAGTGCATGAATGGGCATCTGTATCTAGTGTTACCTATATTCCAAGGCTATATACACCTATGGACTCAGAGCCCTCAGTATGATGAAGAAGCTTGTGTATCACCTGTGACATGGTCCTAGATCAGCTAACGTGAGTCTGGTGTCCATAGAACTGTCACAGACAACTGCTGCTAAAGTCTGTGTTGGACCCAGGACCACTATCATGGATCCACACAGTCCCTGTTCTGTCCCTTCTGTGATCAGTGGCATTTGTATCTTTCCCATGCCTGTAAGAGCTACCTTCACTGGGAAACCCAGGTCTATGTTCCCATAATGCGGCCACAGAGCTCAAAACTTGTTCATTTGGCTCCAGTTTGGAAGCACACCTGGGAGTCAGAGTCCAAGATACCAGACCTCTGTGGCTTGCTGGCACCATCACATCCACTAACTAAGCTGAAGGGGGTAAAAAGGAAAAAAAAAAACAGACTCGCTTAGTACACTGAACTTGCTAGCCTCTTCCAACCTCCAAAGGACCTAATGACACTCATCTCTATGCTGTCTAACAGGAATGGTGGTACCAAATGTCCACACAAAGCAGTACCCCCTGGCTTTGGAGGGATGCAGGACTAAGACAGGGCAGGCATAGCAGTTCAGTAGGTTGGGTGGGGTGCTTCCCATGCACACCAGGTGGCCTACTCTAATCCTTTCCCTCAAGCCACACAGTAGAGACTCCCAGTACTTCTCTGCCCATAGTCCTTGAAGAAAATAGACGTCTCCTCAAAGTCACTACTGCGTGTACCAAGGAGACAACTTCTCCAGCCTGGTCCTTTTGCATTGCCCTTCCTGCAGTCACAGATCCTAGTGTAGTAACAGCGGTGCCATTCCCTCCCTGGGATGCTGCCTTGACAGTCTCCCAAGTGGAGAGAATCCCCACAAATTACCACCACCTGGTGCTAGATGGGCTCCCAATTCCATGTCTATTGCTGTGGATCAGGGATCCCTGGATGGGCTGAGACCCCACACTCCCAGGTGGAAAGAGATCCCTGCCTCAGTACCCCTTTGTCTTCATACTCATTGCACCTGTGGGAGGGAGCTCACTCTCTCCTTCTCTTCTCCCATCTTCTTCCCTGTTTCTCTTTGTTAAGTTTCAGAACAGCTACCCTTAACCTGGTTTTTCATGTTGATTGTTCTGGTCCAATAACTGGGTGGAGCTTTAAGATTTCATCTTGGATAATGTTTCTCTAACATG